TAATATTATGGGAGGAGGGGTGGGGGGGGGGGGGCTGGCTGGTGCTGGATTTATTGGTAGTTATCGATTCTCCATCCAGCTCCCACACATTATGTACATGGCGGGTCTTTCTTTTACTTAATGACTTTTGCAGATATGATGAAGATTTTAATCATGAGCCATGTCAGAGGAATGGACACCGGGCACACTGGGCAGTGATCTCAGGTATGTGTGAACACAACATGATCACAGACTGGCACAGACAGTGACCACAATAACACACCTCCTGGCTACTGACATACATATTGATGTGTATCATGGGTGCTGAATGTAGCAATGTTTTGTCATCTTGCTGGAGTAGTTTTCATCCCTGAGACATTGGTGGAAAGACTATCAGGGTCATGCAAAGGAAATCAAGTGCACCTTTATTGGAAATGTTCATTGTGACTTCTTCTGTGATGTACTACCCTTAAGGCCTCATTCACACGAGAAACTGCCGGCACATACAGCTCCCGGGAAGGACAGGTGCTGTGTGTGATTAGTAGGCAGCCCCCGTTCTTCTCTATGGGACTACGCGGCCGTAAGCCCTACGCTCACCCGCCATGCACGTCCGTACGCGTACGCTGACAGGATGGATCCTGTCTGCGTCCAAGCCGGGACACCTGCACCCGTACGGACCTGCACTTGGGGTGAGCGTAGGGCGGCTTATAGCCACGTAGTCCCATAGAGAAGGACGGGGGCTTCGTACTAATCACACACAGCACCTGTCCTTCCCGGGAGCTGTACGTGCCGGCAGTTTCTCGTGTGAATGAGGCCAAAAGCTGGCCGTACACCTATAGAATATCTGCAGACTTTCTATGGTCAGATGGAAACAGTGCAACAGATTGCTCCATCTACGCTACACTGTGTGGATGGAGGAATCTCCCACTGGACCAAGCTTCAGTATCTTGCTAGTCGGCCCCGCTGGCTGTCAAAATACCTGAACGATCTGATTTGGATGCAGGCATTGTTCAGGTGTTTTGAGAGCCAGCGGGGCCGACTAGCAAGATACTGAAGCTTGTTGCACTTTTTCCATCTGGCCATAGAAAGTCTGCACATAATCTATAGGGGTATGGGCAGCTTTACTCTTCATGTGCTGTGAAATCTTGGTACATTGGCACTTCCACATGGTACAATGGTACCCTCAGTGCTGCAACATTACACTTCACACCCAAGCATGGTAGACAAAGTGCTTGTTCACACCATGTCTTCATTCCCATTGGCAGAGTTCCCTTCAGCCCGTCTCCTCCTTTGCTGCAAGGATAGTGTGTCCCTCGGCGTCCTCATGTATACCATACACTGTATTGGATGTGATGACTCGAGGGTTCCTAGACTGCTGCAGCAGAGGGGAAGAGAGGCTAAAGGGACCCGGGTCTAAGGGCTGGCCGGCAGGCAAAAAGGAGCAGTTAACCCTTGCAGTGCGGGGGTAGCCCCACTGCAAGGTATAATAACATTTCTGCCCAGAGTTCTTCTTTATGCTGCATTTTTCTGCAGGTCATCACACATGTATGGTGTGATCTGGGCACATCACATAAACCAGTTCTATGTGCCCTGTTCCCATCATACGTGTGCAGAAACACGCAGCTCAGCCACATAGCCTGAACAAGCCCTTAATGACAAGCACATTGTAAACATTCATCAGCGAAGTGTTGCTGCAGTTTCCTTGACTGGCTGCTCTGTCATGTGACTTTCCTGTCAGGTGTTCTTCTTGGGATGCAAAGTGGTTCATTTGAGGCGGATGTGGACATCCCGGGACTGTATCATCCAGCACCCGGTTCTCTGGCTCCAAACACAGGTGACATAGACGAAATCTACCTGATCGCAAAACAAGGCAAGAGCCTCCGATATCAGCTGTGGGAATTCAGCTCTGTGAGCCGGAGCAATAGCCAAGTTCTCCAACTGGACCCCACCAGAGCCAGTGATGGCAATGCCTATGTGTTACCAGAAGGGGGCGTACAAGCCGGGCTGTGCGGAAACATTGTTCTTCTCAAGCACAGAGAACCGAAAAACCATAAAACTTGAACAGTCGCTGCTTGACGCTTATTCTGAAAAACCATAAATGATTGTAATAGTTACAGGTATGGAAAGATTCTTGTACAATTTGCAAATAAAACTGTAAAGTTCTCACCCTGGGGCTCTATTGACTGGAAAAAAGGAGCATTCCATTCAGGGCGAAACAAGTAAAAGTATCCCGGTCATAGTTCAATGTCAGATGTCAGGACTTTTGTTCACGTTTTCCATTGACTAGACTCTAAGGCCTGGTTCACATCTGCGTGTTCCTGGGACACGATTTCAATGGGGTCATATCCGCGCAGCAAAAAGGCTCCTGCAGCACGCGATTTGCAGGCCGCGTTTGGGCTTCCATTATAAAGGAATGGCACCTCAATCGCGTTTGTGCGAGATTCCGCAAATGTGCAGCGATCGCACACAAAAAACGTGCAAATCGCCACACATTCTCTGAATGCCCAGGGGTGAACCAGGCCTGATACCCCTTGTGCAGGACGCCTTGTGTCACAGGGAGGCTACAAAAACTGATATATATTTATATTAGGGATACTGAGTATTTGGGCAAGTACTCTTACTTGCCCAAATGCTCCCGATGCCTAGCCCGATACCGGAACTTCCGGTATCAGGAAGCAGGGCAGCAAGTCATTACACGCTGGCCAGCTTCCTGATTGGCCAGGAAGCCGACTCCATGCTCCCTTGTCACCAGGCAGCATGGAGCTGGGACTTCTGGACCATTAAGGAAGCCGGGTTACGAGTCATTACACGGCTCCTGGCTTCCTTAATGGGACTTCCGGTATCAGTATTGGTGAGTACCGGAAAAAAAATATGGGTACTCAATACCAAAAAAACATCCCTAATATATATATATATTATACACACACTGTATATGCTGTGTGAATGGGAATACAAACATATAGGAGACTGCTTTAAATCGGACTACAAATGTAGAAATACACTTTAAGGGGTCCATTTACAAAAGCATTTGCAGAGCCATTTGCTCTGCACATCTCTGTAAAAGTTTGTTCTGTGCTAATAAAACCAAAAATGAACATTCTTAGTATATTTTGTTTTCAGGTGTAATGTAATACCTCATTATGGCCACTAGATGGAGCAGAGGAACATAGGAAATGTGTATCTCTTGTACTCATCTACTCCATCTGGTGGCCATAATGAGGTATTACATTATCCCAGAAAACAAAATATACTAAGAATGTGTATTTTATTATTATTATACAGGGTTTATATAACACTAGTAGTTTGCGCTTTACAATATAAGGAAGACATTACAATCACAATACAAATCGAGAAGGTAAGGAGGGCCCTGCCCCTGAGAGCTTACAATCTTTGGCAGTTACATTTCAGAAAACCGCACTATATATTTGTTTTGTGTTCCCATTGAGACAGCACACCTAAAAATAATTTCAGGTGTTTCTTTGGTGGAGGCCTTTGTGCAGATTGCAGGTGTATTTTTGTGTTACGCAATGTGAATGTGAACATGCAAGAAATATGAAGTAGATGTGTCTGTGAAGGCTCTCATTCATCCAGGTCATGGTATACCTGTAAGAAATAAATCAGGGCAACTGGACTTGCTGTATATATATTTTGCTTGCTGTATTTTTTTTATAAGACGTTTGGCTGGTCATCCGACTAGCTTTCTCAATTCAGAATGACTTGGACAAAAGTTCTCTGGGAATACGAACATAGAAAGCAAGGCCCTGGCCACCTTCAAGGGAATTACACCCAGTCATTGGTTCAGATATGTGGATAACACTTGGGTTAAGATTCACAAACAAACATTACAGGCTTTCACGGACCACATCAACTCAGTGGATCATAACATCAAGTTAACGCAGGAAGATATGCAAAACAACAAACTGGCTTTTTTGGATTGTTTAGTAACAGAAGAAGAGGGAAGGGGCTGGAAATAGAGGTCTACCGAAAACCAACACACAGACCAGTACCTGCTATTTGACTCCCACCACCCTCTATACCACAAACTGGGAGTCATCAGGACTCTACACCGCCGGGCAGAGACAATTCCCACCAGAACAGAGGCCAAGGAAGTCCAACACCTCAGAGGGGCCCATAGAACTTGCGGGTATCCAGACTGGGCTTTTGTCAAAACAGAAAGAAGAAGAGGAAAGAATGGCGAGAGTACCAGTGAGAGTGAAAAGCATGACAAACGCAAGAATTTTGGCATTATATATGTAGCTGGGGTGTCAGAGAAACTCAGAAGGGTTTTTAAAACACATCACATCCCTGTCTGCTCTAAACCCAGCAATACTCTGAGACAACAACTGGTTCACCCAGAAGACCCAACGCCAAAACACAAGATAAACAACATTATGTATACAGTCCAGTGCAGTGAGGAGTGCTCAGAATTGTATGTCGGTGAAACAAAACAGCAGCTACACCAGCGTATGGCATAGCATAGAAGAGCCAAACCCTCTGTTCAGGATTCAGCAGTATACCTACATCTAAAGGAAAAGGGTCACTCCTTTGAAGACAGTCAAGTACACATCCTAGACAGGGAGGAGGACTGGTTTAAAAGAGGCCGTTTATGTTAAAATAGAGAAGACATCTATTGTCTGCCATACAATGCTGTTTTAACACCTGTTAGCTCCAATTATGCAAATTCCATGAACACCTTTCCTCCATGAAGTCTCTGACCCCATGTTGGTTATGATAAGCAGATTATGTGGATTGGAGCAACATTCACCATATTTATTCCCAGAGAATTTTTGGACAGGTCATTCTGAATTGAGAAAGCTGGTCAGATGACCAATGAAAGGTCTTCAAGGAAAATACAGCAAGTCCGGTGGCCTTGACTTATTGTTTACAGATATGAAGTAGATGTTATTGCAGTTTGGGGACGAAAGTGGAACAAATTGACTTTAAAGGTTGCTGGCAATATCCTGTGGGGGTCTTGTAAGCCACAATGATCTCATCTAATGCATGCATTTGCTTTAGACCGGTACACTTCATAAAACCACATAGCAAAAAAAGATTCATAAGACGTAGGGCTTGTAGTGTCCTTTTTGTAGGTCTTGTTTATTATAAAACTGTATATTCCAATTACTTTACAGGAATAGTGTAAAAATAAGTTGGTTTTGTTTTACTAAAAAGGAACAAAATTCTAGCCAACGGTGGGATCAGATTTCATTGTGTCCATCATATGGCTTTCTATAAACCTGCAGAGATCCAGCATTGTTCTAGGTCAGCACCATTTCTAGACACCAAGGGCCACACACAGGCCAGGAGGTTGTATCGTCTGTGCACTGGGGTAACCCTTAAAGGGGAACTATGAGGAGAGCGAGATATACTCATCCCCATAGTCAGAGCGGGTGGAGGGCACTGCAAGTGTCACAGATCGAGAGAGGAGTGATCACAAACCGCTGATCACTGTCAGTTACCACTCCCCTCTCTATTCCTACAGCACTCATTGGAGGGACAGACAAGGGAAGGGGCGGGCACAGCTGGCTCTGTCTCTAGACGGGCAGAGCCAGGTGGCAGGGTGGATCCTGACAATATTAGTGGGATCCTTCCTGGCTGCGGCTCGGCTCTCCTATATACTGAGTTTGTGGTCACAGGAGGAAATAAGTAAATGTTCTCCTGTGACCCAAAGAGAACAAACTAAAGGTTTGGCCTCGGTTCTCTTTTGAGGAAACCTGTGCAGGCTACGGCAGCTGCCCACCTCTCTGAAAATGATAGTTGCCTGGCTGTCATGCTTATCTGATGTCATCATTACTATGACTACTACTACTACTACTTCTAAGCTCCTAACCGATATTACTGGCCGCATGCTTGATGCAGGTCAATGACCTTAGAAATATAAAAAAGAGAGACAGCCGGGCAACTGGAATTTTTAGAAGGAGATCAGCAGTGGCCGTCTTCATGTTTGTTTGTCATTTGCTATGAGCACACAGCTGGACCGTCCTGGGCCACATCAGCAGAACTTCATGTCAATATTCTGGTACTGTATCCCCTTCCAGTGATCATCCACGTTATAGAGACACTGAGAGGCCTTGTTTGTACCGTAATACAGCACTCGCCTCATCCTAAAGCAGAGCCCCCTTTTTGGGGACAGCTGACCATGGGTGGCAGGACAGAAAGAAGTTCTTATCTTGTTCTGGTGTGCTCCATTGGGCTCTCTAGGTATCCAATGATTGGGAACGGTTCTGCTTTTGCTTGTTGCCGTATAGAAAGCGTTGGCACATAGAATTCGGCATCCAAGTCTACATTCTGTGCACATCTAGTGTGCCGTGTCGAGACTTTCCCCCCGGCAACAAGCAAACACTGCACATTTCTCATTAGGCACTTGGATACGTGCAAAGTCTTCCAGGCACAAAGGAGGAAGATCGGCACTAGTGATGAGGAAAGATCCTTCCATCTGCTGCTGACCTAGAACAATCCCGCACTGGGCTCGGGTCAATAAGGCACAAGAGGCTCACACAACATACACAGAGGAAGAATTTGGTTGTAATGTCCAATTTATCAAAGTCTCTAACACAATACATGATGCTCACAACAACCTGATTCTAAGTATCGTTCCTGCGGTGCAGGTTAGGGGATGGAAGAGGAAGTCTCATTGGCTGCCAGAGGTAACGCACTTCATTTCAGACACTTGGATAAATGAGCCTCAAAGTCAGGTGGGAGTGCAGGGTCCCAGATACTTGTAATAGAAACATTCTACCACTAGATGGCAGTGAGAGTGCAGCCTGAGCCAATACTGTCTAAGTCAGGGGGAGGCAACTCCGACTCTCCAGCTGGGCTTTAACTACAAATCCCAACATGCCTCTGGGAGTCATACCTGTAACTGTCAGTCTTGCAATGCCTCATGGGAGTTGTAGTTCCACAACACTTTGAAGGCCAGAGTTGCCCACCCCCGGTCTATGTAATAGCTGTATTGCTGTACTAGACTGATGGCTCAGGAATGTCACTTGCTACTGAAAGGCTGCACTCTCTATATAATAACTAGGGATGCACCGATGCCGTTTTTTCGGTTACGAATACCAATATTTTTTCCGTACTCACCGAGTAGTGGTGCCGTGTGCCCCGATTATCAGGAAGCCAGGCTGCCTTGGAACAAGTGAAGCCGGTTTCCTAGCCAATCAGGAAGCGGGGCAGCATGTCATGACCCGCCTCCCTGTTTCCTGATTGGCTAGGAAGCCGGCTTCACTTGTTCCAAGGCAGCCTGGCTTACTGACCAATCAGGAAGCCGGGAGGTGGGTAATTACGTGCTGCCCGGCTTCCTGATTGGTTAGGCTGCTTGGCAACACGTGAAACAAGCTTCCTAGCCAATCAGGAAGCCGGGTCATAATCCACAGCCTTGCTTCCCGATTGGAAAGGAAGCCGGCTCCATGCTCCCTCAGCACTGCACTGCCAGTCAGAGGGATATTTCCCTTTGAGTGGAAGTTCCAGTATCGGGGGTAAGTATCTGAGCATTTGGGCGAGTATGAGTATTCGCCAATATACTCGGTATTAGCACCGATACCAGTATCCGTATTGGTGCCTCCCTAATATTAACAAAGTATATGGATTGGCTGCACCTATATCAGTAAACTACAGGTAGATCACATTGGCCGGGATAACTCTATTCCTCGCCAGCGCCCACTTGGAATGTACTGTTGGCATAGGCAGATAGGCACCTGTAACCTAATGGTTTTCTCAATGCACCATGGGTCCTATGTAGGAGAGCATCTGGAAGAACAAGCGTCTGTGGTGCCCACAGAGCCAATCACCTTCACCCTTTCATGCAGTAGTAATATGAAACAGAGAATAAGGTTGCTATGGGAACACACAATTATCAGTTCATACAGAGACTTTAGTACATAGGACTCAACACTTTGTGCATAAATAAAAGGGAAGGGGGCACAGGCCTGTATATTGTGCAAAACGGCGCACCAACCCACCGCAACAAATCAAACATCCACTTAGTTTTGCTACACTGCTAAGTGTCTGTTCTGATTGGTTCCTACGGGCTCCTGCACTGCTCTCTGCACTTTTATTATATACAGCCTAAAGTATACACAGAAGTCTGTATTGGCTATGGTCCGAAACCAATCACAGCACAGCAAGTAAAACACCTGACCAATCATGAGCTCATCAATTGCTGAGTCTTCTGCGGTCACAAATGCTGCAAACCTATACACATCTTTGGTCATTTAAAGAAAGGTGGAAAAACAATATTTTCAGTCTAAACCAAATACAAATTATTCTCCGTCTTATTAAAACAGCTTAAAAAAATACGGAATAAAATCAGTTTGTAAAATTGTAAAAAAATATATATTATATACAAAAGATAAAAGAACGGAGAGGTCCACTTCCCTCGGCATTATTCTGTACACAGTTTCCAGTGTTGTAGAGGCTATGAGGCTACAAAAAGCATAAATAAACCTATAATACAATTTACAATACAGAAGTGGGCACGAGCCGGAGAGTTCAGTATCCACAGTTATCTTTCTTTTATGCCAGTATTTCCGTTGCCAATGGGCAGAGTGCTGGTGTCGTTTTGTGCTCACACCAGAGCCGGTCTCCAGTCTGTACAGTTTCGTTATTTCAGTCCTGAACCATCTCAGAGAAAATGTTTATGAGGTTGTCCAGCCCCCACAGGTACCCATCTTCCCGATTACCCTCCAGCCAAGGCACCCGGTGATTTAGTGTCTGCTTGTTCGGTAGCCGAGAGGTTTTCCCAAAGTCGATCATCCAAACCTTGGCCCGTTCTGAGGCATCGTGGACGAAGAGCAGAGAACTCCCGACAACCTGCCCGAGGAAGGAAAGCAGAAATATCAGTCTTTAGAATAAGACTCTCGCTATCTCTCTTTGTATCTTTATTACCTTTCACATACATTCAAATCTACAATATGCTGCGCTTGGTATGTGAAGTGAAGAAATAATTAGCTGTATAGCCTGTATGACAGCTGTGAACCATATATTAGTAAGTGGCCGTGGGCTGTTTACATATGTTCTCTTATATTGTGAGCTTAATAAATAAAATAATTGACTGATTGGAATTAAGCTGGGTGGTATAAGAGAAAAGCCCCCTCCCATTTGGTGTTGTCATATTTGATTGTTTACAGGTGAAACTCGAATAATTAGAATATCGCGCAAAAGTAATTGCAGTAAGTGCTGCAAAAGGGGCCCAAACCAAGTACTGAGTACATATGCATGCTTGTACTTTTCAGAGGTCCGATATTGTTCTATGTACAATCCTTGTTTTATTGATTGCATGTAATAATCTACTTTTTTGAGGTTGTGGATTTGGGGTTCTTGGGGTTTTCATGAGCTTTAAGCCATAATCATCACAATGATGACAAATCACGGCTTGAACTATCTTGCTTTGCATGTAATGAGTCTATCTCATATATTAGTTTCACCTTTTAAGTTGCATTAGTGAAATAAATGAACTTTGCACCATATTCTAATTATTCGAGTTTCACCTGTATATGATCGTATTATTCCAGTGTCAAGCTTATAAGCCATATAGAAGACAAGTTTATACTAGAATTGTCCCAAACTGCCATTTTGTCACCTCCAGAAGATTAGGGGGAACAGCACTTAGTCACATTTGTTGCTATCAGTTATAATATTTTTTTTATTTTCACCAGAGAAGATTTGCACAGTAAGAGTACACACAGATTTTTCGGAAGTAATTTATTTATAGAAGGATTGAATGTATTATTTATTTATTTATTAAGCTCACAATATAAGAGAACATATGTAAACAGCCCACGGTCACTTACTAATATATGGTTCACAGCTGTCATACAGGCTATACAGCTAATTATTTCTTCACTTCACATACCAAGCGCAGCATATTCTAGATTTCACTGAGGTTTTGATTGCACATTGCTGCAGCTGGTAATTATCGACACACGGTTTTCCCTCCCGGCGCAACTTTTTGCTATTTTGATTTCACATACATTGCCATTTCTCAGTAATAAAACCACGCTGTAATGCTTGTGGTCAGCTGTTTTATGGCAACCTTGAGGTTGTATTGGGTTCTACAGAAAGAAGGAGGTGGAGCTGTGAGGACTAAACCACCATTGCGGACAATCACATGCAAAACTTACTTGATGTGACACTAAACTTAGGCGTTAAACCTTAAAAATGGAAACAGGTACCTTAATTATTAACAATAATGTCTCTTATTTGTGTATCACTCGGCTGTAGATCCTCAAATCATCTCTGAATTGGTGCTGACACTGTCCTTCCTTCTGGGGGGTGCCTACGTTTGTCCCCCATGGTCCATGTGTGTGTTGTAAAGTAGTCACCATTCCAAGCTTGCTCCTCCAGAAGGAAGGACAGTGTCAGCACCAATTCAGAGATGATTTGAGGATCTACAGCCGAGTGATACACAAATAAGAGACATTCTTGTTAATAGTTGGGGCACCTGAATGCATTTTTAAGATTTCACTCCGGAGTTAAGGTCAACTTCATAAACATACAACTACAAACGTTTACTAATACAGATCTATAGATGTCAATGCGAGACATTTGTGCCATGTATATGCTGACTTTTCATGACTTTAGAATTAGCTCCCCTTTAACCCTTTTGCTGCTGGACAATTTATTTTACACACAACTGTTTCTGTCGAATGATATTTGTGCAGATCTCTATCACAGTTATATTTTCAGCAACTAATACATTGAATTTGTCCACAAAATGGTAAAAAATTACCCAACGTTATCCACTGGCGACGATTTAAAAACCTTTACAGCTCATCAATTTAGAGTTAAACTTTACTGATGGCGTTGGGTACGTGTATGGGAGTCCTTTAAGAAAATAGGATTTTTGTAGCAGAGCAGTGCAGAAAGCATGATCATGAACACAGAGGAGGGGGGACCTGTGTTTCTCAATGGACACCAAGAGAAGGATTTTACTGTAGGACAAGAAATGTATTTCTTGTCCTTTGAGGGATATTGAAGTTTTAAAACTTCAGGACGTCCCAAACCCGTCCAACTGAGGGGTGGGCAACACAACAAACAAGCATCTGTTTACAGGCCCAAGAAAACAAAAAAACTGGACTGCCTGCAGCTCAAATAGCTGCCTAAAGGACCTCGTACCAAAAGTGGACATCAGATGAGGCCACAAAGTCCACCTGATAGAACTTGGAGAACTTGTGAACAGATGAATTGGCGGCAACCTTACAAATCTGGGAAAGCCTCACAGATCTAGCAGAGTACACCTTGAGGGGAAAGGGTGATTCTAGAGACCATAAGTTTGAACAATGGTCTATCAGAGGCACCTGGAGATGGTGGGATGGGAAGCCGGAGAACCCTTATGGGGTCCATCCAAGATTGCAAAAAGGGAATCAGTCTTCCTAAAGGAATCAGTGGCCAAGAGATCATCCAGGAGGTGGGCAATGGAGGGGCATTTCCTTTTGGTGAACTGGAGCCACACAGAGGGACGGAGGAACAATCTCCATGTTCAGTTCAGACACTCACCTCACCCCTCATCTGTTTTCTAAGGATTACTGGAACAAACAACCTGAGCTGGACATGCTAAGAGGCATGAGACTCTCCTTCTAAAGATACTTTGTCTTGTCTGCCGTCTACTAATCAGGGTACATGAGTGACCCCTTTCAGGTTTTTATTGCTGTCTATGTCCCCTCTAGGGAAGTTCATCCTCTTTATTTCTCCTGTTGGCCACTGCCAATGGGACTGGGAAAGGGAGTGAAATTCTGAGCGGTCACTGGGACATGAATAGAAGGGAAACCCTCCAATGGGGACACATGTTCCAGGGACAGAGGATTCATCATTTCCCTTATTTAGAGAGATCTCCTCTCATTTCCTGTTCTGCCTTGAGACAGGAAGTGACTTTATTATACCTTAGGACCAGAACCAGACAAACGGGGTTTGCTACTACAGAGCTGCCTGCCGGTACAATCAGTGTCTCATATGTAGTGGTGTAGGTGATTACCTCATGCTGCTTGAAAAACTCCGATCTTTCCAGCTCTGTGCGCAGTTCTTTCAATCTTGTCGAATAATTCCTCTGCAAATAAACAGGCCGGGTTCAGACAATGTCCACTGGATGACAATGCAGAGACGACGCAAAGCAGAACAGATGTACTGACAGGGTAAAAGGAGTCCGTCTACTCACCAGGATATTTTTATTGCCGTCTACAAAGTCCTCCATTGCTCTCATCACCTGCTCTCTGTGTTTGGTCTTCTTAAAGTTTGTGTCACAAGTCCCATCAGCTCTCTGCAATCAAAAATATTCACAGGTGACATTTATCCATCTTGTCACTGATTGTATGTCATTATATCATTCTTAGGTGGGACTGATCTATTGTCTGTGGTCCTAGGTGGGACTGATCTATTGTCATGTCATTACATCATTCTTATGTGAGACTGATCTATTGACTGCGGTCCTAGGAGGGACTGATCTATTGTCATGTCATTATTACATTCTTAGGAGGGACTGATCTATTGACTGTGGTCCTAGGAGGGACTGATCTATTGTCATGTCATTATTACATTCTTAGGTGGGACTGATCTATTCACATGTCATTATTACACTCTGGTCCTAGGTGGGACTGATCTATAGTCATGCCATTATTACACTCTAGTCTATTGTCATGTGATTATTACATTCGTAGGTGGGACTGATTTATTGTCATGCCATCATTACCCTCTGGTCCTAGGAGGGACTGATCTATTGTCATGTCATTATTACCCTCTGGTCCTAGGAGGGACTGATCTATTGTCATGTCATTATTACCCTCTGGTCCTAGGAGGGACTGATCTATAGTCATGCCATCATTACACTGTGGTCCTAGGAGGGACTGATGCTTTTTCATGTCACTATCATTATTACACTCTGGTCCTACAAGGGACTAAACCATCCATTATTATGTCACAGTCATTACTATACTCAGGTCCTTGAACGGTTTTTAGAACCTGGTCTGGTCCTAGCAGAGTCTACCCCAGGGGCAGGCAATCTAGGCACACCAGTTGTGGTGAAACAACTAACTCCATCATGGCTCTGCCTCTGGAAGTCAGGCCTGTGGCTGGCAGAGTCTTGTAATGCCTCATGGGATTTGTAGTTTCACAATAGCTGGAGTGCCAAGGTTGCCTGTCCTTGAACTCACTTCACTGTTAATGCATTTTGGTTCCAGAAGGAATTGATCCATGATGTCATTATCATTAATAATCTATGGTCCTGGTGGTGTCCTATTGCATCATACTAACAGTTTCTAGGGAAGTCAGAATAGATATGGCTTCCACGTTCTGTCCTGCTTACCTTGATGCCCTCTATCCTAAAGCCCAGGGTAGCGGTGGAGCTGAGCGTCTCCCGCCACTGCATGTATCTGGGTTTTAGGACAGCCCTCTGCTTGTGCTCCTCTTCTGTCGGTGCGCTAGGGTCTACTGCAATCATCTTTTCATACATGTCCTTCCGGAGCTTGGGCTTCTCCCGGGCCTTGACCAGCTCCTCCTCCAAATACGTTCTAAGATAACAAATACAAACAAAACATCAATTAAAACTGCCCATTTCCTTGACACATCGCAGTGTTCTCTCCATAGCACCCAATCAGACTTTGTCTAATCGATACCTTGCAAAATATTACAACTCTGTTTGATAGCAGATAAGATTTGTGTACAAAGCTATTACCAAAAGCGAAACCACAAGTGTGACATTAGATACCCGCTGATCCCTACTGATTTGTCAGGGGAGAACAAAAGGTCAGCAATCGGCAGCATTGCACAGGGTTTGCCCACAGGTAAAGTGGTGGTGGGAGTAGAGATGAGGGGTAGCTGTAATGCACATACAAGAGCTAAAGATAAATGTTGAGCATGTGTGTGCTTACAGGGCACCATACAAATCGCTCATCAGCTTCTTAAAATTTGCTAAAAAGCTCCAATATGATTAGAATACAGTTACATGCTTCCCCTTCCCCAACCCAGAAGGCCAAAAGAAAGATGTGGCTCTTACAACTGGATTCCCGGTCTGCTGACTTATTCCTCAACTAAGAAGAATCCCCCAATAGAGTGTGACACCGTTATTTTGTAATAGCTGCTGAGCAGAAATGTGAATTC